GTGTGTGTGTGTGAACCACAGGAGGAAAATAAAGAATAGGAAAAGAAGCAACTTCAGACTGAGTAACCACATTGAAGTTCCCCACAACCTCCTTCTCTTCCCTCCTTCCTTTTCCCCTCTCTGTCCAGTCCAGCACATACCTAACGAGAGGAAGTCAAGGACTTCATGTAAAAGTGTGTCCGATATTTATATATACACAATGAGATGTCCTTTTTATTTCTCATTTAGCAGTGGAGGAAAAGCTTAGATCCATAACTAAATATAACAGCAGCATTGCAGAAGCACTCTCGTGAGTTAAAACTAATACAGAAATACTGACAATACCACATTAACAGTAGAGCGAAACTAATGTTACACTACTGTCTCACTTCTTTAGTGTTGTGGATGGAAATCTGTGTGCTGTTAATGTAGTTAAAAAATAATCACACATATAAACATTTAGATGTGTGATTACGGTTTCATGGACAGGTGTGGACTGTTTTTAGTTTTTCGTGGCAAATTAAGGGTCAGAAATTTTTTCCAGGTCCTTAGTTATGTTACATCCTTTAAAGGAAATGATCCCCTGGGCAGCATTGGGGTGTGGTCTGTAGCAAGATGGTTCTGGGTTCGAGTCCACCAGCTGGCTTGGGGCCTTTTTGTGTGGATTTCATGTTCTCCCTGTGCCTGCATGGGTTCTCTCCAGGTATTCTGGCTTCCTCCCCAGTAACGTGGTCAATTAACATGGTCAGTGAATGCTTATATGTCCCTCTTTGTTAAACAAAGTGGGTTGGAGACCTGTTAAGGGTGTTCTCTGCATAGGTGGCAGTAGGATGGACCTCTCAGTGTGTGGTCTGCATCACTGAGCTGAAAAAAAAGCAGACCTATCAGACAGAGCAGAAACTTTGGAGGTGATGAAAGGGACATTCTTCAAAAGAAAGGTAGTCAGACATACCTTTCATGAGCAACATTACACAACATCTGATTCTACAATTAATATAGAAACCGTCATAAAGGGGACAAAACTGCTTAATGATATATGAACTTTTCCAGTACTACAGAATCATGTTGGAGTTTTTCCCATCCTCTACAAACTGTCATTCACCAACCTCAGTCAGAGGTAATAGGTTTACAGCTGATAGCTACATAGAAGCTATTTCTTAAGGAAATCATGAGGAAATTTTCAGAGAAATGCGTAGAAAGTTTGGGATCCATAACTTGAATGTTTACAGTTGTTTCTTGTGTCTTTGTAAATAATGTTGGTCTAATTTTGGACAAAACTGCCATCTGCTGCCTGCGATGGTGTAAATGTTGCATGTCATGTTCCTTGGCACATGTTCACTTTCAGAGCAACTGCGCACACACACTGACGCTCACATAGATTTAAAGTATCGTCTGATGTTAAAGAGAAGGAGACCGCCCACGAAAAGAGATGCCAATGGAGCAAGTGAAGCCAAAAAGAGAAAACAAAATGGATGGAAAAGCAATGAATGGTGGAGTTGGGTGGGAGACGGGCAGCTGATTTGATATTATGGGATCTCCCTTTCCCTCTTTCCTCGTCAGCTGTCTCCCCCTAAGTTGCAAATGCCAAAGCAGGAATCTGTTCCAGCCACCTGCCGTTACACATATTCAGCCCTGACAAACACACACTCCTCATCAGTGGTTGGAAATAACTAAGACCTCAGAACATGTACTTATGTATTTGCATTATTATGTGAAGACTGTGATATCGCTTACTGAACAGAGCACTGTCCAAATATCTGGTTACTTTGGAGCAGTCAGGGATCAAACCACCAACCTTCTGCTCTACCTCGTGAGCTACAGCCACCCCCAAATAATGCTTTTGAATTTCATTAAAACACAACAAGACTAAAGATGTAATTTAATGCTCTTTGTATTCAGACATATTTTGTACAAAGAACCTAAGAACCTTGCACCTGATTTAACAGCACTGTCTGACAACACCAGCTCACACCACTTAATGAATGTGCTGTGATCTTGGCTATATTTACAAATGATCACTGAGCGACAAAGTTAGACACAACAGAGTGACTCTCAAACAGGGCCTAGCTTTGGTGTGCGCACAGCTGCTGCCCAGAGAGAGAGCTGGAGGTCAATGAGGGCAAGAGTTCTGCTATAGAGTGAAATATCTATGGAGAGTACCTCCATAGATATTTCACTAGGTGCCTTAAAAGAAAGGCACCTAATGCTGTATAAATGAAATAGAATTGAACTCTAATGAATGTTAGCTGAATATTTGCGTGCGATTCTATCAGTCTCACCACTGGCAGCTAAATTTCCCCACTACCTTTTACAAGTAATTGACTGATTGAAAACCACCAGTTAAGTTTCCTCCATTCAGTTTATACAGTAAGAAGCAATGATGTGTATTGCAGTACCTAGAAGTATATGAATCTGTAACACATTAGCTTCATCTCGGCAAACTACAACACTAGTCCCTTGGAAGAATTTAGTGTATACTGTGTACTTGTATGTTACAACTTGAATTGTTTTTTCTTAAGTATCTTATTAGATGGATGCAGTAGAGATGGACAGGATATATGGGAAACAAATAGGATTCAGTCAGATACGCTATGGAAAGATGAGTTGGATGGAATTTTGTAAGGTAGATCTTACAATAATACAACAGAGAAAACCCCAACAATCATAAGACCCCCTCTATGAGCTAGCGTGTTGGCAACAGCGGGAAGGAAAAACTCTCTTTTAACAGGAAGAAACCTCCAGCAGAACCGGGGTCAGGGAGTGGCGGCCATCTGCCGTGACAGGGGTGGGTGAGGGGAGGAAGACGGGACAAAAGACATGCTGTGGATTGGAGGTGGGTTTCAAAGCAGCTTAAATGATGTGCATAGATTTGTCTGCCGGATGGGTGAAAGTGAGCGGGTGAAGTTGCCTGGCTGCAGTTAAAGCTTGACTGCGTGGCTGCTGATGTAGCTGACAAACAGCTACAGATAGGTTTCTGTTAAAGAAAAGAAGCTGCAGACTGAACTACTTGTGAGGCTTGTTAGCAGATTTGGCTGCTTGGTTGTGGAACCTTTTAAAATCCTGGAAAAGTTTTTTGTTTTCTTGTCAGTGATTGTCTCTTAACAACAATCGCCTCATCTTGCACACTCTCCCCATGATCACTTATTCTAATTTCCCGAGAGAGAGAGAGAGAGAGCGAGAGAAAGTGTGTGTGTTGTCTTTTTCTTGATCTTTGTGAACATTTTATCCACATAACCCTGATGCTGTAACCTCAGAGGCTAATTGTACAGATGATTGTGCAGACTGCCAATTACTCATCAGGTTATCGTCATTATTATAGAGGTAATTTTTCCCGTGATAATTACTGAGATTAATTTATCTCTCAGCCCTAATTACAATTTTGTTTTTCTTCTATCCTCTCAAATGAATCATTTCACAATCGCTTTGGAGTTGGGTCAAACCTAAATTTGAAACCAGCAGACTAAGACTAACTTTAATGCTTAAACACTGTTTACAGATGTAATACCAGCGATTAGGAGACCTCTACTTAACGCGTGAAGTATTTTTACAGTTTGCTCCTTTAATAAGTTAATAAGTAAAATGTTTCCACCTGACTTCCTTGCATTCAGTCTTTATTTCCACTAAAAAAGCAAAGTGAGGCGTAATGTAGTAGCACTGTGTGCTCTGTGTGTATTTGATGAGGGAAAAGTAGGCTAGTGGAGTCAGTTTTATGTTTTAATAGAGCAGCCAGATTGACAAATTGCAAGGGAGTGACGAGGAACACTGCGGAGCACAGGGGCAAAAAATAACCTTCTACGGCCATCCTTCCAGTAGCCACACTGGTATTGGTGGAAGCTGCCTCACCCCTCCCCTCACTGCAGACCCTAACCCCCCCTCCCTTTTAAAGCACAACAGGTGTACATGACTGGGATGAGTGGGATAGCTGCTCCAACAGTCATATTTGTATGTCTGTGTTTGAAAGAGGCACTGCCATGCTCATACGGTGACAGACTGGACTAACGGGCTGTGAAGCGCTGAAGCAGGCCACCAAGACCCAAACCACACACATGCACAAACAGACGCACACACACTCACATCACCATCATCATTATCATCCAATATCTGTGTAAGAGAAGAGATTTCCCAATATTCACATGAAGCATCTGACCTTTGAGAGACACACACACAAATTAAATTCTGTTTATTCTTCACACATAACATGAGTATAAAAATTCAGAGACCTTTTTGTGAATGCTGTCACATGCTGGTGAAACGAGTATGTTGGGTTTGATTGTACCACTTGCATTTTAAACTGCTGTCTGGCTTATAGAAGTCAGTTTGGAACCTCACTGGTGGGATAGCTGCTCATTTATCGCCCTCTTGTGGTTGGAAATGTTTGTTCTAAGTTCGACCTCTTCATTAGAAGAAGAGTCCTGGTGAAAGATCAAAACTTTCTCAGAGCAGACTAACTAACCACACAACCAGGGCCTTTAATTCATAAAAATCATATTTAGATTGCATGTTTTATAGTTTTATAGAGCTACTAATTGTAGTAGTCACAAGTAGCAGTGCAGTGCCAGTCCGATGCCTGTATATACGGAGAGGCTACCATCAGGAATGGTAGTCATTGTTAGTTTGAATATGTGGGTCATCAAGAATGAGATTTCCATTCCAGATTCTTCTGGACCGGATAACAATTACTGCCTCTGATGCTGTTGGCCAACATGGTGCTGGTGGAAACTGTACTACTGCTGGCTGAATGCATAGCAACAGAAATAGAGGGAGGTGTGTTAGGAGGCAGCGAGAGGGAAAGAAAGGCAGGGGTGTGGAGTTGAGAGTAGGGACTATGGCTGCTAAAGGGAAAGCTGATATGATGGAGAGAAGGATGGTCGATTTTGACTTTGGACATCAAGACGAGGAAGCAAGTGAAGGCAGACGTTAGGATTTAAACGATTTAAGTCAAAAAAGGAAGAATTATGCACTTAGTTCAGGGAGGAATTGAGAAAGGCTCTGGGTGGTAGGGCAGACTTACCAGATGACTGGAAAAGTACAGTTGAGGGAAACTGCCAGAAGGTGTTTGGTGTATCAGGACAGAGCAAAGACAATGAGGAATGTTGTTGGAATGAGGAAGTTTTAGTGCGATAGCCATAAAGAGAAATAAAGTAGACAGGAGTGCTGGGAGGCTAGATGTACAGCAGAGAGAAGGGAAGCAACAAAAAGGCTTATAGTGAGTATGGAGGAAAGTTAGCAAATGAAGAAGAGTTGGATGAAGATTTGGTCCAGGTGACATACCTGTGCAGTTACGCAGCTGTGTGGGAGAGAGGGTAATGGACTTTTAGACCAGACTGTTTAACACAATCTCGGAGAGGGTGGACAAGCTTAGAAATGAGGACATCAGAGGGACAGCTCAGGTTGAGGGATGTGGAGACAAAGTTAGAGAGGTGAACCTGAGATGAGGTTTAGGCCATGTGCAGAGGAGAGATAGTGGACACACTTTACAAAAAATGTTGAAGATGGAGTTGCCGGGCAGGAGGAAAAGAGGAAGGTCTCAGAGAAGATCCGTGGATGTAGTACATACAGTAAAGTCACCCTGCTGTGTTTGACTCTTTTGTTTGTCTTCTTTTATCCAGACCCTGCGAAAGAAGGGTTTAAACGGCTGTGAAAGCCCTGACATCGAGGCTGATGACTCTGCTGGCCAGAGCCCAGAGTTGGACGATAAATGCCGGAAAATCAATGAAGACATTGACTTGATGATCAACCGACAGAGAATCTGTGTATGTTCACACCTGCTCTTTTTGATGCATAGCGTTATTTTAAGCAGCTTCGTGTTTCCTTACCAGTGACGACTGGCTTTGTTTGTTCTATGTGCAGGGTCTGCCCTCCAACTATGACATGGGTATATCCATCCCAGGCAGTAATCAGGGTGGGCTGCTCTACTCCCATCAGGGCATAGGGGGCAGTCTAGGTAACCATAGCCTGCTGCCCATCTCTCACTCATCTCTGCAAAGAAACAGCATGTCGCCTCAAAGTCCTTCCAGCACAGGAAATGCAGGTATGTTTGTGGTCAGTAGCTTTTTCTTCAGTCCTCATCAAAGACCTTATTAAATGTTCAGCTGTTTTGGACTGTAACACAGCTATAGCTCAAAATGGGCCTTTGGGCAAATAAGCAGGCTGGTCCACACCTAGCAAATACTCGGTGTTAACCTACCTAGCACGTGTTTTCCTGTTTTTTGTCTTCTATTTAAAAATCTTTTCACAATCCTGCTGATTTTCCTTTCATAGACAGCCTGACGCGCTGCAGTGTTTCCAGATTTTCTATATGAGAAAAAAAAAACCCGTATTGGCCAACATTTGGTCCAGCAGTGACAAAAAGGTGTAGCAGTCAGGCATTAATGGCATTTTAGACTTAAGAATACAACTTAAAAAGTAACTCAGCCGTGAGTGTTTTCCTACTTTTTTCTATGATAATGACAATCAATAGATATGCTAAGGCCATAAGAGGATCATTTTCCCAGTAATCTTTCTATTGTGGGTTTGTGTTAACTTTGCATTTCCTAACACGGTTAGTAAAACTACAATTTTGCCAGCTGTGTTAGGTTCTCTTGAATCCTCTTTTTCTTTAGTAGTAATTTATTGGGAGCCCTATATAGTATGTTCATTTGAATAATTATTATTCTTAAGAATGAAGACAATCTCTGCATATCAGGTTTGGAATAACAGCTGAGCTCTACATGATAAATAGTTTGCAAAAGTTCCTGATCAAGAATCTAACACCCAAAGTATTATGGCGTTGTATAATAAAAATGAGCAACAAAACCCAGATTGTATTCTCATTTGATGTGTGTGTTTCTGTCTGTAGGACTGATGGGTTCAGAGCTGTCGAGCACTGTTTTGTCAAGTGTGGGTAAGAACGCTACTCTGTCTTATTTCTTTATATATCTCTCTATCACTCTCTTTGTATAGATAGATCTTCGTCATAACAGAGTAAACTGAGCACTGTCTTTAGGTCACCTAAATATTAAATGACATAAACGTGTGAAAAGTCAGATAACAGAGCAGCCATAACTACAAATGTAGATGATGTTTTACATAACAGTCGGTTTTAGGCACTGAAAGAACAGCCAGTTCTTGAGGGGCTTCATCTACATTCCTCCACTCCGTCAGTTGTTTCTGCTGTGGTGAACATGATAGTGTAGTCTTCTAGTGGAAACAGGTAAAATGTGAGTGTAGTGGATCCAGCACTGCTGATTAGGGCATCATTATGTATATGTTTGCGCCACCTTGTGCTCAGTATGAGAAGAAATATGCCTGCTCTAAACAGTAGGTGTTACCAGTGGTAAATGTCATCAGGGTTGAGTAAATCAGGGTGATGATAGGTAAATCCTGTGCTGTAAATCTCCTCTCTCTTAAAAGTCCAGCTGAAAACACACCATCCTCTTTCAGGCTGTTCTCACACACTAGGATCTTGACAAGATCAAAACTGGTAGCACGTGGTTGGGTGTGCAACTTTTTTTTTTTTTTAACCTGGAACCCTTTGGTTGCTAAGATATAGAACATCCATCGATGAAATATCTTGCAAGTACCTCAACAGCTTACTGCTGCTAGACCCACAATTAAAAAAGGTGCTTCTCAGAGTGTCATTTTTCATTTCATTTGGTAATTTGAGGACATGCGTGAAGAAAACTGTAGCGATAATGTCTCTTCTTGCTATTTAGCACTCGTGTAAGTCTCCTCCCCTGTGATTGGACAGCTAGGTATCTCCCCTGTATCCAGTTCAGATGAGGAATAAAGCAGTACATTGGGAGTCTGTCATTGCTCATTGTTCAGCTGCTTAAACTCTAAAATATAAAATTTATTTCTGAGACAGACAATCTTCCCTCTCTGGTTATTGACTTCAGCTAGAGTTTGCAGTTATAAAACTTTGAGTGGATGAGCACGTTTTCAGACTTTTTCATTGGAGTGATGCACTTTGAACTTTCTCCCCAGATGTTTCGTTAAAGAGTGCTCCAGTAGCATTCAATCAACTATACATCTGCAGATACTGAAGTTAAAGACACTTTTACCAGCCTCACACTGGAAAAAGGGAAGATTCACCTATTTTATGTAAAAATGGTGTTGCACGACATCTTAGAACATCCTGCTGAAGTGGTTGGTCAGAATCAGAAGTTTGAAAACAGCAATGATAAATATACTTCCATGAAATATAGGCACAAATAAAAATGGGTTTGGGGTACAGTAGTGATTTTGTAGTCATTTGTAATGAGAGATACCTTTTTAAAACTTTGCCCGACCAGGAAACGACAGCTACAGCAACCACTGCACCTCCCCTGGACTGCTGTCTCCAGGAGGCGCCCCCAAGAACATGCAGGATAAAAGTCCTTCAATGAACATGAGCCGTAAACCTGACCTGCGAACACTGATGCCCCCTTCCAACAAGTGCAACAACATACCAGCTGTTGTAAGTGCTTCCTTCTGTTTAGTCTTTTGATTTGTTTGATTTCATAAGTTGATTTTTATGTGCGGACTCATTTGAGTTTGTGCTTTATTGCTGCCCTGCAGTGTGAGGACTTTGACCTGATGTTGGTAAGTAGCTCTGAAAAAAATCTGATCAGCAGAGAGAACCATACTTTTCATGTATGCCTCCTTCTGCTAGTTTATAGATGATATACAAGCTACAAATATGTGAAATTAGTGCCAATGTCATTTACATTATTACCTTAAGTAAGGGAACTATTTGTACTTTAGAGATATTTGAAAAATTCTGCCGCTGAAGTGATTTTAAGGAACCATGGAGAAAGGCTCCTGAAGATGAGCTTGAAAATTTAGGATCTCTAAAGGAGTTATTGGCATGACCAGGTTACCGTGAATACCAGCAAACGCTAGAAGTACCACTTGAGATTACTGATTTTCTAAAATGAGCAAATCATGATTACCAGGCATGGCAGGTAACCATAAAATGCTGGCCCTGAATCAGCTGTCACTGTTTAGCTTGGTGACATCTTACCTTTTCTTTGCAGAACCAGAGAATAAATCACTCCCAGACAGCTCAGACCTTGTCAACCCCTGCTGTCACTCTCTCTGCCACCACTATCCCCAGTCAGGGGATGGGTGGGTACCAATCTACACTTTCCTCATCTTATGGCACAGGTGATTACAACAAAAGCACACTGCTGCTGGACTCCACAGGTTTCCTCGTCTTTGCTCAAGTTTCTCTTTTTGTCCATCTTCAGATTTCTCCCTCAGCAGTGACCTGCCATCGCTGTCCGGGTTTGGAGGTTCTGTTCTGGGATCAGTGAACTGGCAGCAACAGCAGATACAGAATCTACAACACTCAGCACTGGGACACATGGGGTAAGCAGCTGTGTATATTACCTTCAGGCCACAGGCCAAGCCTTAGAAAGAATTGTCCAGAATCAATGCAATAATTTCAGCTGTTAGTGTCCTGGTTTATCCAGCATACACTGGAAAAAATGAAAATTAAAAAAATAGTTTAATTAATAGTAATTGTTACTTAATTATTCAGAAATCCCCTTAAAAAACAGACATTTCCACGGAGCCCAAGTGCAACATGATCACATTTCTGTAAATCAATGTTTCCATCTACTTGTATGTTCAATTGGAAACAGCAGCCAAAAACAAGAATCTTCATATTCTCACCAAAGAATTAAAACAAGCGTTTAATCGACATTTCCTCTAAAGACGTTCTTAAAATTTGCTTTGCTCTGAGTTTAAGATGCTGTTTCTCTTGTTTTGATCTTACAGGAATTTGTGCCAGAACTCAAACCTAAACCTCTCCTCTGGCCATCAAAACGTCCACATCAAGTCTGAGCCAGCCTCCCCTCCCAGAGACCGGATGGTTGGAACAGGACTTGAAGGAGGCATGACCACAGTTGGATACTCCACCACAGGCCGGGGGTCCCATGAACAAGGGCGTTCCCCTGGTGACAGCGTGTCCAGCTGTGGGAGCTCATATGAAGGCAGCGATGAGCGAGAAGATCACCATGGGAACGACAGCTTCCTCCTCCACCCCCTGTCCAGTCATGAGGAGCACCACAACCCATCAGTTAAACGGATGAGGCTATCAGAAGGGTGGACGGCATGATCAGAGCCTCTCTACAGCCGGGGGAGGAGTATTAGTAAAGTTACCGCATAGTGTTATTATTATTATTATTATCATTATTAACATCATATTCTTCTTGTACTGAGTGGGTGTGCTATATGTGTAACATGTACATGGGGGTGGGGCTGCTATGTGTGGATACAGTGATTGCTCAGCTGTATTTCCAGCATATACTCTTGGTAGACTTCACACTAATGACTCCTTGAAGTTCAGAACCAGTTTTCAGACATCGAGAAAGAAAAGGAAGAAAACTGTTTGACTTAAATCCAACTTTTTACAGTTTTCAGAGCTTCATATTGTCCAAGGAAGTTGTTATTCATTTATTCATTTGATAGTAAAAGTGAACCAGGCCAATCCCAACCAGAGCCAGATTCTAAAACATCCAAAAGCTTTAAATGAAAGAGTTCAGTCAAATTAAAGAAGTGCTCAGTGAGTTAGATGAGACTTTTGTCTGGGCCTAAAAGTATTCATAATCACTTCTTCTTACTGTTCCAAAGGCGGGTGTTCATATCATTCATTTCCCAATGTTGAGGTCAGTGAATATATGAATAATCCCAAAGAGTCAAGAAAAATGGATGTATTAGAGGAATGTAGGAGTGTAAAAAGAACAATATAAAAATTCTCCTGAAAAGGAAATACTTCAGTAAATCACAAATATGTGAAAAAATTAAAAACAACTAGTTTAAACTTCAACTAGTACAAAGCAAAAAGTAAGAAGGAAATATCCAACTGTTTTCATTCATAAGTAAAAGCTTGAAATTGGTAAGAGTTTCTTTCCCCCCCCACCTTTTCTACAAACACTGTTGGTCCAGGATATAATTCGGGAGCCAAACATATTGAAGCTGTCAGAGGGGCTGTTGGTGTACATGTATTGCTTGTTTTATGTGTGTGTGTTCATGTGTGCGGGTATAAGAAAATAACATAAGTACATATGTGCTACATATGAGCATAAGTATGCAAAGCAACAAAAAGATCAAGGTGAGAAAATCTGGTACTCTGAGTAGTGACTCTAATGGTGAATTTAATGTCAGGTGGCTAAATGGAGCATCAGTTCACTGCTGCAGGTACAACATATTTATGCACATAATCAATCACTCATGTAACCAGAACGTATGGAAAGTAAAGTGTGGCGAAGAAAATGGGTTGAAAAAATGGGAGTATGAGTAAGTGCAGGAAGAGAAAGTGATGTCAAATCGTGAGAGGTTTCATTGTGAGGGAGAAGAAAGTGATCTGGAACAAGTTGGAGAGAAAACAAGTTTCATTTATTGTGAAGACAATTTCAGAGCAAAAGGGGGGACTACAGTTAATTCAGACATGATACCAAAAACATTAGAAAACACTGAAGCAAAAAAAGCTGTGATTGGAAGTAACTAAGTAAGTAATTCTGACAATGACCCACCTCAAAGTACTTTAGTTAAAATGTCAGTCACACAGGCTACATATGCACAAAATGATGTATATTAGCAGAAGGAAGCTAAAAGCTGTAGGAATTTTATTATTAATTAGAATTGTATCATTAATTATTATTATATAAATAATAAAACCAAAAGAAATGAGGAAATTAGACCCAAATTCTGGTTCTAAATGTAGTTTGTAAAATTAAACAATAGATTTACTTACTTTCTTTTTAAAATGTTCAAATGTAAGTAATCTGAAGTGAAGTATAGTTCACAATTTGGTATCCAGTTTATAAAAAGACAATCTAAAAGTTGTTATTCCTAAGAAAACAAACGAGGTCGTGTGTGGAACCAGACAGCAGAGGGTGCTCGCGTGAGGCGACTGCAGCAATGAAACTGTTATTCGTGTCTTTGTAATTGATGCATGAAAGTTAGCATGTGCTGATAGCTTTGCAGGATTTAGCAGTCAGGGTGAGGATCCTAAAAGCCATATTGACTGGGACAAGTGATGCTTTGCTGCACAGAGTTTGTAGTGTAGTGTTTTTCAAACTAAACTTGAGTCTTTGCTTGTTAGATCAGATTGGTATTTTTGGATGTCTGCAGTCCCGTGTAATAACAATGATATAAAAAGCAGCAGCAGAATGCACACATGCACACCGTTTCCCATCAGATGTTCAGGGAGACGTTTGCTCTAAGGTAGAAAAAAGTTTGTTTAGCTGGTGTCAGACCCAACGTGATCTCACAGCGACAATCCGTCAGAGCACAAAGGACAAAGCTCCTGTTTTCCACTTACCACTTTCATCGTTTTTAAATACTAGCAGTGGTTGAAGAAGTCCTCAGGACGGTTAAGTCCAAGCGAAGTACCAGCCAAAAATGTTACCCGTTAGACTGTCCACCATGGTTTAGTCTAGTCAAGGGCGTAGATTTGGCATTGACGGATGGGACATGTCCCCACCAATAATTTGATCTCTCCCAGTAAAGAAAGACATTGAGTTGTTGTGTGGGACACCAGTAGTCCATGTCTGTAACAGTAGTTCATGTTTAGAATAAGAAATTCCAGCTCGCTGATTTGATAGAGGCAATAGTGCCTAAAATGTTGCATAATTTTGGTGAGAGATCTTTTACTTAGAGTAGTTTTATGGACAAAAACCACCAGGTCATTCAGTGTTCCCGTAGTGCTAATGTATCAGAGATGTTGGTGTACTATAACTGAAGTAATGTTAAGTCTTTAAAGTCATATTCTTTTATTGTCATGACTGTATTTGAAGCTATTTTTATTTTTGTATGATACCTGATTTATATGGAATATGGCTGAAGTAAACTAAAGCCTAAAATACTTAGTCATTTGTTTAATAATAATTTAACATTATATAATTCACATATAAAACTATGAATTGTAATTTTAAACGGTTTAAAAGAATGTAGAATAGCATATGTAGGCAAGTATATTTCTCCTTTTTTTTTTTTTAAATCAAGAAGCAAAGACAAAAAGGAAAAAAATAAGAAACAGGGCAGCGTTCAGTGGTTGAATCATCCGTCCCCACCAATGCCAAAACCAAATCTACGCCCTTGAGTCTAGTGCTTCCCATGGTCATTTTACAAGATTGTTCATGATTTTACCTTTTTATGTAACAGCAGTAATAGAAGCACATGTGAATACATTTTAGGATTTGCCACCATATTTAGTAAAAAATGTACTAAGAACAAGGATTTTGTCCACCATACACTTAAGTTTATCTTTGGATATAAAATCTTGCAAAATAAAGAACAAAACATACAGTTATGAAAAGTTAAAGTACTTGGCTACTTTCCAGTACCGCGTGTTTGTGTTTGTGTAACTCTACAAGTGTACATAAGTGACTGAGTTGTGCCTTGCATGTCAGCTGGGTCTGACGCCAGCCACAGACAGGCTGAAGGACTGCAGAGTGAAATCCACTTATTTTTAGTTTTTAATACTGAAGAGATGCTGGTGGCTGAGGCTTGTTCACATTTGAATATTTTGGTTTTAAAACTGTATATTTGGAGCTCAAACCCTCAGCCATCATCTCTACTGTAAATCCAGCGAATAAATTCTCTCACTGAAAATCCCTGTAGCTGTGATGGGATGAAGTGATGTCTGTTAACCAGGGCAGAGCCCAGATGTGTTCACTTCTGCACCCTTTTCCTTTTCATCAAGCTGGTCTTACTGTACCACAATGAAGTGAGAGCCAGGAGCTCATCCTTGGGCTTCAAGTGGAGTGGCTTGTGTACGGGTGGAGGTGAAGCTCACAAAACAGGGAGATGCAGTGTTGACATTGTGAAAGCCCCTCTGTATCTGTTTTCAGTTTGATTACTGCCTGTACCTGAAGCGCCCCAATGAAATAGTTTCATTTCCTCTTTTTGGTGACATCAGTGAATGTCCTCTGTACACTGGGGGAAATGTACACTTTTGGCTCTGTTATGCCATTGTTTCATGCACTAATGTTTCTAATAACTATTAAGTTAGATATTCAAAGAGATTGTTAGCGGCATAAGCTGGCCTTTGTCGCCAATTTGGAGACAATGAAAAACAAATTAAACACACTGTTGTTGCAGATGTACAGCAATTCCCTCACTCAGAAATGTGGTAGTATTTGTATTTTCCAAAAAAAAAAAAAGATATATATATATATATATATTAAAATATATTGGTCTGTCTGATTTGTTATCATTGCCTCGTTTTAACAGGATTGTGTAAAGAGAGATATACTGCAGTTTCAGTCAAAATGATGAACCCTACTGAGTATGTATAGGTGTACACATCAATAATTTTTAAACTTTCACATACGCTCACATATAATAATATCAAAATGCATTAAAATGGTTTAGTGATGGCATAGTCTGACATTATTTTATTTATTAAATTTCAGTTCAATTTTATTTATATAACACCAAATCACAAGAGCAGTCACCTCAAGATGCTTTATGAGTAAGCACTGGGCGACAGTGGGAAAGATGGCTCCCTTTTAACAGGGTAACATATTTGTTTCGTGTTAAAGGACATATCCTAATTAAAAACAACTCCACCATTCCTCACTGTGTTACTGGAGGCCAAGCTAAGTACGCATCTGGTTATGAGATCCAGATCCCACAAACAACAGAAAATAAATTTTGATTTGAGCTCCGATTTTTGCTGCATTGCCCAAAATAAGCAAGAAGACTTTAGCTGATAAATAAGTTTTAGGGGGGGGTTCAAGGATTCAGTGAACACCTCCAGACTTGGAAATAAAGACTCTTCTCTTGTGATTCTCAAAGACTGGATTGAACTCATTTTACACTAGAAGCACAATCTGTGCTGTAGCCTGCTCTGCTCCAGTATCTTAGGATATTACCACATGTCAGTCACCGTACAAAGTTGTTCTTACTGACCACCTTTATCCTACTGTAACAGATTCTTGTTCTAATGGCAGTAATCTTTTTCTGGATGATGATTCCCATGAACAAATCCATTCATGCTCATCAGATCACAGCAGAGTTTAACAGCTATTGGAGCAAGGTGTTGGACATCCTCTCACCAACAACTGGTTGCAGGTGATGGCTGGCCCTCCCTGAGCCTGGTTCTGCCAGAGGTTTCTTACTGCTATTCCTTCCTTTATTATTGCAGGCTCTTTACCTTACAGCATAAAGTGCTTTGAGGTGAGTGTTTTTATAATTTGGTGCTTTATAAATAAAATTTGAATTGAATTGACAGTGCTGAGAATGAAGAATGTTGTTCAACCCTCACGCAGAGAAATGGAGAATTGCTGTGTAGGAGAATTAAAGCTGGTCTCACAGCTGTAGCTCAGGAGGTAAGCAGTAAATGTACTCATCATAAGGTTGTTAGTCTTTCCTTTGTTTTTTCACTCACTAGTATTTATCTGGATAAATATATGATAATTGCAAGTAATCCATACAGCAGACTAACCACCAGAGGGCAGAAAAGACCGACAGCACTATAAACATTGGTTCTCATTTGTTAGGAATTACACCCTTTATTAGTCCAGTTTCAGTGGATATTTCTTGGTTTTAAAGCCAGTTTTACTAATTGTGTTTTTCATTTGTTACTAATCAAGTGTTTAAAGTCTTTGAATCCTTAAAAAGTATACATTTGATCTCTCCATGTACTCTGAGGCCTTATACAACTGAACTTAATACGACAGCGTGTGTGTGCAGATTAGAAAAGCCTGCGTACCTTCACCACTTCTCCCAGATCTCTAATGCAATCACAGATTGCTTTAACTCTGCATTTATTCACTTACCTGTAAATATACCTGTTTAATCTTTCCCAGTACTTAGCAAGTGGGTTTATGATTCTGCTGATCCATGACAGAAGACTCTGCCTAAAATTCTGCTTTGAAATACCCTAGGCACCACAAGTAAGCCAGCAGTCCTCTATTGTGGTGATACAATACTACAAGGTCATTAATGTCTGTCTATGAGGTCTGTCTGCAAACTGTTTGTTACCCTCAAGCTATAGCTGTCTGTGAACGTTGCCTGCTGACATACTCACCAAAGTGGGAACTTATCGTGGGATTTTCATATGTGGCTAACACAAGAGAAGCACCTACCGTCTCTACACATCTCCTGCTGTGGAAACATCGACAGCCGCCCCTCCACTTAGTGCTCAGTCACAGCTCACTGTAACACCACACTGTGGTCCGGTTTGGCCACCTCTGGAGGACATCAATCATCTCAGATATCTCCTGGCTCTGGCCGATGACATATGCCAAAGTCCCAATTGTGCTCTGCACCCTGCAACCCAGAGCCTGGTCCTGGTAAAGGACAGTAAGGAGCATACTAGGGAAACAAATCAACAAATTTGACCCACTGTAAAATGTTGATGTACCCTGCTTTCCAGTGCACAACCACCCAAATAACCAGTTAAGTTCTGGTCGGGTGTCTGCTCTAAAGCGGTTGATGCATCTGCCTCAGGGGTTACAGTTTGAGTACTGAAGAGGGGATGGCTGCCCGGCAAGCCTCTCCAACATCTCTCTTCATCCTGCCACTTCTTGTGATAGCCTGGTTGCCACTGGATTGGCTACTGCAGCTGTGTACCCTCTGCGCTCTCTCATCACTACACCTCTTGTCTGCCCTTTGTGGAGATAATTTCGCATAATTTCTCAACTGCACTGAACTTTTTAAACAAGATCGCCTTCAACAAATCCACTGGGGCTCAAGTATTCTGTCTGTAAACACTAAACCGGTTTATGCTTGACAATATTTTCACAGACCGGCCTTTAGGGTGTTGCGGATAAATACAACAAAATAAAACTGGTAACGGTACCGAAAAAAAGATTTATTCATAA